ATATAAAAAAATATATATTATTCATCTCAAGTGTCGAATTTTGATTTTATACATTTTTAATTATTATTGACCGTCCTCGAGTGTGCTCATGAGATAAGGTTAGAGATAAGGACATATTTTACAATACATATCGATTGATACCGTAACAATGATATATTGTTGGCATACATTGAGAAGTAAAATAATTGAAGTAATGAACTTGTGTGTATACAGTGGCACCATTCGATAGTTAACATCCTTGGGTACCTATGATATACTTACAATAATAGCGTTCCATTTATTTTGAGTACCCGATGGAATTAATTAAAGCGTTATTGTATTTCACTGTAACGAGGCCAATGTACCGTATTACTATTATTTAACCGAAGATCGATTTGAAAGTGGTAAAAAAAAAAATTAAAAAAAAAAAACCTTAAGCCCTATTACTTAAAACATACAAAGTAAACGGTGGTTTGTCTTATTTATTTACATTTAAAAAGTGATTAAATGTATATTTAATTAAAAGGGTAAAAGTTAACTTGATGACTAAACATTTTAGTCATCACATAATGTTCATTTTTTATCCTGATTAATTTAATCATAAATACAAATTTTAACTTTAAAATACGAATAAATTAATCATGATTGAAAAAATTAATCATGGGCAATAATTGAATCAATCAAGATTGAAAAAATTAATGGTGACCAATCGTTAAGTGGTAGTCATGATTAAAAAATTAACATTTTTGTAGGTACACACGAATAAAGTTATTTGTAATTTAAGAAATAATTTTACTTTGTTTAATTATGCACTTATTAATTATTACCTGTACTATTTAAACTTGAGTAATATGTACAAAATATGTTTGAAAACAATTAAAAAAAATTGTTTAGAATATTTGTTTGCTGCCTAACTATAGTTTGTTAAAAAAAAATAACAGGGATAACAGATTTAAAAATAAGACATTTTTATGTTAAGTGAATCCTTCTGTTTCCTCTAAAGCTACTTGATTAGTACACATTAATTAAATTATCCTATTCAAACAATAAAAAACAATTTATTAATTACGAATAAAAATGATTAAAAATATTCACCATGATTGAAAAAGTTAATAATTGTGGACAATAATTGAATCAACCTTGATTGAAAAAGTTAATCGTGGGAAATAGTTAAATTAGTTATGAGTTATCAGGACCGGATTAAGAGTTTATAAATACTTTAAAAATATTTAATATTAGTCAATTTTAACAGTTACAAATGTACAACATTATTCATTAAATGCGAAATAAAAATAAAATAATAATATTGTTAATATTAATAATACTATTTTAAAACTAAGTTGATTATGTTATTTTCTCTTTTTTTTTTGGAATTCCACAATAATTTCATCTGTACTTATTTCTTTTAGATCTCTCTATGGTCATTAATGCTAAAGCGTTTAAGCGTGGATTTTTCATGGTAGACCTCAATTCGTTCTTCACTCTTTTCAAATTTGAAAATGCCCTTTCTGTGCTGCAGTTGATAACTGGAAGACATAAATACAATCTATGAATTGAGTTTATTATCATGTATAATTTGAAGACATTTTATATGAATCAGAGTTATATGAATAATAAACGTTTATTCAAAAATGATTTTAATAAAATATTAACATCTCGTCCGAACTCAGTTTTAACTGACAACAATAATCAGTAAAAAATGGTTTGATTTATTTTTGGCTGCTGGATTGGGGGGGGGGGGTACAACCTTATTGATTTTTTAATATTACAACAACGTCCTCTGACATTTAAGTAGCTCATATCGAAAGCTAATGTCGACGATGAATCACGTTTAATGTTATTTTGTTGTTGTTTTTTTTTATACAACAAATTATTATTATAGTTTTTTTATCTACTCTTAAGTGATAATTTGTAAATTACTTACAAACATGAGATATAACAAAATATTTAATTCCTATGAATAACAAAGGAATAATCGCTTTTAATGTCGATTAACAAATTACTTATATCAAAACGCTTTCGAGTGGTGAAAATAGCACCTTTTGTGTTAATCGCGTTGGAAATTAATTCACATAATTCTATACAATTTAGTAAATACTGAAAAAAACCCATAAAGTGTAGGATTTAAATAGTTTTGGAAATTCACAGACCAGGCCAATTATTTCTCTTGCAGTTATATTTATAATTTTTATTTTTTTTGATAGACTTTTTTTGACACATTTTAAATGATATTAATAAAATATAGCAATCAAATATTTTGATTATAAAATGACAATATAATTTTAAAACGTATATTATATTTAATTTGTTTATTGAAAAGAATAAAACAATCTGTAATCTTTTGATTAAATAGTTAGTTTCATAATTTAATTTTTCGAAAAAGCCAAACAAAACCATATTGTTTACAGATTTTATTATAACAGCTAGTGTTTTTTTTAGTTTTGTTTTTTAATAATATTTTTTAACAAAATTCTGTTAGAAAAAAGAGTTGTTTTTTTTTTAATTTAATGAGTTTAATTAGTGGGTGGATATAATTATTAATTAGTTTAGATGTATCTATTTTGATCTGTTGAAATAAATCTGAAAATCTGTAAATTATATATATTTTTTTCTTGCTAAAAGCATTGTGTTTGTTATTGAAAAGTAACTGCAATTAATTTAACGAAAGGTGACTATGTCAGAGTAAAAGTTATTATTTTAATAGATCCACTATAAATCACGATGACAACCAACATAATAGGAATAAACTTTTATTAATATAAAATAATAATAAAAAAAAACATGACCAATTAAGGCATATTTTGCTGTCATTCTTTTTTTTATGCCTTCCTGAATAATATTTTAACTGCGACTATAAACACACATAGTATTAAGTATTATAAGTACATTTTACCCAATTCAGTTTTTATTTTTTATACATTTTTACATAAATTATTATAAAAAAAAAAAAAAACAAAATCGGATCGTTATTCGGATGCTGTTATTATTTTGTAAACTCAAATGTTTATTTTTCATGTATGTCTTACAGTTGTGTTTAGTTAATTAAATATTTGGTTCAATAATAATTAATTATCAAGAAAAAATCACAAATGAGTTGTGATTCATGACAGTAAAAATAAATACAGATAATTAATACAGTAATTTGTCTATTAAAATTAAACGCATCGATTTATCGAATAATTTTTGTTTAGCTATAAATGTTATAGATGTAATTTTTAACATAATGAGTAGTGTTAACAATCGTAAGCAACTGCTTAACATGGCTTATTTATATAATAAATATATATATAAATATATATATATTTATATGATACAGTGTTTCATAATAATAATTAATAGTAAAGTGTAAACCAATTATGTAATAAAAAACCCGACCGAGAAGACATTGTGTCAACCTATATTATTATTATTTACTTGTCACTTGTCGATTGCTTTTGTGGTCTTGCCATAATCTAAGACTATCGCACCAATTTAGTGTTTAGAACGTTTTAACGGTCGATAGCACGAGTGAAAAAAAAATTAATTAACTATATTTTATTATCTTTAAATGATAGCTAATTTATACATTATGAATCGTACAACTGCAGAGGTCAGCGAAATAGCTGTATTTTGTATATAAAAATAAATGTTATAACGATTCATCGGTTAATATTTGGAATATGACACCTCGCACGCAGTGCAACAGCTGTAATATTATTATTATTGTTATTGTATAGTTGTACAAACCTAGTTTTAATGCACAGGATGTCTTACAGGAAATCACTTAGTGCCAATTAAGTGCACATAATTATGTCTGGGTCGTTCTCACACATTTCAAAATTGTCATTATTCGTTGAATGGTAGCAACGAGGTAGAAAGTTAAAAATTCCTTTTTACACAAAATAATCGTATACTTGACTAAGTTACTGTGGTTGTGGTCTCTGTGAAGTTAATGATTCTTAATGATGGCCGATTGATACAGTATGAAAAATGAATCTAAGAAAATGTTAATATTTATAATTCAGGTTTATCTTAAAAAAAAGTGTGTTAATTTGTATTTTGTTTAAAATAATCGTTATTTCGTGTGGACTTAACAATCATTTTAGCTTCAAACTATAATAAAAAAAAAAAATTAATGGGTGAGCGCTTGCGATGAAAAGATATTTGCACACATGTGTCCGTATTAAGGTATAATTCATTTTCAGAGCACCATGCTGAAAATCTATATTCCAGGTCATGTTGCAGTTTTAAAAAGTCATTAACATGATTAACTGTAATGTACCTATATAGTCTCAAACAATACTTTTTTTTAGAGAGTGTTATTTTTTTCATTAGTCTCTGTAAAGTAAGTTTTTTGGGCAGTAGCATTAACTCTCTTGTTAATGTTTTTAATTACTAAATTTCAGTTTGACAAGTTTGTTTATAATTGTTTAGTATCACTTATCATAATAATATTCGTTGATATAAATTTCAAAAGGCCGACTTAGTTATTTTTTTAGGGTTCTTATTTGGTCAACTGGCTATTAAAGGCTGACACTTCAAACACAGTATTACCCACGTGAGCCATGCTACATAACGTGAATTTTTGCGGTATAAATTATTTATACTATTTTTAATAGTGGTGTCGAAAATTCACAAAAAACATTTGACATTTGCAAAACGACAAAAAACAATTTATATTTATTATTAATTTTAAAATTTAAGTGTAATACAATATTATATATGTTATACAATTCAAAAGCGTTTTGTATCCCGACCTTTACCACGGTTGAAACTGGAAACCGGTTTTGAAAAAAAAAAAACTCTAGTGTCGTCGATTATTATTTTTCGATAGTGTTTAAATTATATATATATAATAATATATATCTATCTATATTATACGTATAAATGGGTAATATAACATAAACTGTGGGCACGGTGGGAGTGTATGATGTATTGTATAATACAATATATGTAGTATTATACAGTTATCGCAGTGCACACGTGTGTGTGTATACATATATATATATATAAACCAGTGGGTATAGTGTGCAACGTGTTCGCTCTATAGAGGTTCATAACTCTAGTGTTCGGTTACCATACCAGTCGCTGAATACAGTCCACACAGTTGGCGCAGAGGTAGGTATGTAATATAATTATTAGCAGCAGTGTACATTCATATCCGAACTAAATCAGCTATAGTAATATTATGATCGTATATTGTGCATAATTTCATTTTTTTTTTTTTTTTTTGGAGTCCGCGAAAATCCCAAACGTTTGGTTGAGTGTTTTATAATTTTTTTTTCGATTAGTTGTAATCTTAACCCGTCTCGCGTCCTACATACACCACACACCCGTCTTACAATCCAAGAGGACAGGCGGAGGCTGTGAAACTCCACGACGGTGTTCGGCTGCTGCTGCTGCTCTGCCATGGACCCCGCACAAGTGCTCAACGGCAACGGCCTAGTAAGTCCAGTGTTGCTTCGCCCGGACTTCAAGTCAAGGGCCGCAGCCAAAGTCAATGGCAACAACAACGGCTACGACAACGGGTACGCCGAGTCCACCATGTCGTTCGACTCCACGTCCAGCGGCAGCAACGTCTTCTCGGCCTTCTCGAGAAACCGGTGCGATTCCATCGCCCTGGACGACGACAAAGAGTCCAAGATACTGGTCATCTACACCGGCGGCACCATAGGCATGATCCGAAACGACGACGACGGTAAGCTCGTACATGTTTAATAGATATTTGAACAAAATCATAGGTATAAGGAACCAAAACCTTTCAAGCGTGTCAGTCAATTTGCCTCTGCCTCAAATTACTTCTGCCCCGACCTAACCTAACCTATCCAAACCTAACCTAACCAAACCTAACCAAACCTAACCAAACCTAACCAAACCTAACCAACCACCTAACCAACCAAACCTAACCAACCAACCTAACCAACCTAACCAAACCTAACCAAACCTAACCCAACCAAACCTAACTAACAACAATCTCTACAAAGACGTGTGACTACCAACAACCCTCAACGATCTGGCCAAATCCCCATACGCCATGTTTTATTCAAAACTACACTCTCATTCCAATCCACTAACTAAAAAATTATCCTCTGTCACATTAATTTCCAGAAGATTAAAAAGGCAGTGGGCCGAGGACCTGCTTAACGTATAAGATCTTAATTATTCTTGTCAGGTAGCACTGCCGAGAGCCTTCCTATTCTTAACGTTAATGTCACTTTGTCAAAATAGCCATCAGACTATTGCTTATTATACTGTTGTATAAATTGTAAAAAAATAAAATAAATTTTAATAAAAATAAAAAAAGGTATAAGAAAAAAAATCATCCGCTTATAAATCCCACTACAACAGTGCGGTTTTTTTTTAAATTCAATTTTGTATTTTGAAACCAGCAAAATAGGTTTGAATAATATTTGAAAATTCGATCATTTTCGTTGTAAAAGTAAAACTAAAATTAAATTAACTATTCATATTGTGTGTGTGTATTTGGCATTTGCAATGCCAACGTCTGGCCTTGACGAATAGAAAGGGCCGTTTATAATATAGGGAAATTATAAATCTATATTATTACATTTATAAAATATAAAACCAATAGAAACAGGTAGAAAGGTATGCCCATGATACAATATGTATATATATATATACATTGAAAAGTTATAGGTGGGTAGTTATTAATGATAGTATACATCATGCAATCGCCAAGTTGTTGTTGTTACACAACGACTGACAACATAATACATATATTTCATTAAGATTCATGACTACCTTAACCATTTCAGTCCCCAGGCACATTACAAGGTCCACAACCTTTTTTTTTTTGTAATATTAGTTTTGTGATAACAATTTAACTTAATATAGAAAAACACGTGTATGGTGGAAAGTATTAGATAAATATTAAAGAAGTATTCTCTAAATTTAATTCAAGGCCGAACGGGTTGAATAGTTTTTTGGATAAATTTATATAAGTTAAACATTTTAAATCAGTTTTGTTTTGTATACAGGAAGTCAATAAAAATAAATTTTTCCTTTTCTTCGACAATTCCGTGTATGGTATATTCAATCGGGTCCCCGTCGTGTTAAAGTCTTCTTTATAAAAAAAAAAAAAAAATTAAAAAACGTTTAGTCTGCTTAAATGGTGGTTTTTGATTTTGTCTAACACCTAAATAATATAATCTCTTTTGTAAACCGTCCGAGTGCGTTTGGTTCGTTTCTGTAATTATTGCTCCGGAATCGATAACCGACTAAATGAGATTTTTATGTTTTTAATTGAAATTTAAAACCACACTTAATTACACGCGTTAATCGACCGGAGAAGATTGTAATAGAAAAACTGATAAACGTCATAAAAAGAAATCATCGAGGTTAATGCAGTGATCTTTAACCCTTTTCGGTTGGATTCCCAACCTATATAACCGGCTCTATTGACCCGACGTCAATAATAATAATTATTACAAATTTGGTAATTATGTATTTACAGTACTGCACTAGTCTAGTGTATTGGTTTGGTTACTCATCGTCTGCACTTGTGCGAGTCAAAATCAAAACAAAATCAGAAAAAAAATTACCTACAAAACCCACATAAATAATACTACATAGCCAAGCCGATTCGATTAACGTTTAACAATAGTGGCTAGACGAGTTTTTTTTCTTCTAAACGTCATAATATTATACTTCAGTGGACAAACTAGTTTTTTTTCATTTTTAGAGAGCCTCTTCAGTATAAATTACAATATATATATACCTACAGCTACCGCAGCCGTACACGACGGGCAGTGCAATTTTAATACCATATTATAATGTAATAATGCAATGGCTTGTAAACAAAATACTTATCGCTTAAAGTCACTAGTTAAACTATTAGTTTTTACAAGTCACGTTCTTTGACGAGTGGTCGAAAATTTCACTTTTTTTTTGCCTATTTTAAAGTTACTGTTCACTGTGTATTTACCTAATTCGTTTTTAATTTCGATAAAGCAGAGGCTATACTACAGTGTTTTTATACCGCAGAAGTATTACCATGAACCGAAGTATACATTAATAGCTGTGTATAAAATAAATATAACTGCTTTTAGCTTTTCATACGACAAAAGTACAAAAACTTCACAAAAAATCCAAATTTAAATTTTTTTATATTGTTTTGCAAGAAAAAACTTTGAAAATCCAACCTAACTTTCGTCGAGTGACGTGGAAAATACAATTTAGACATTATACAATTGTAAGGCTAGTTATTTTTTTTCAAACAAAAGTATACATTTAAATGAAATATATCTCTTTGTGTTTTATTTGTTAATCGATTTAACGGTTAAAAAAAAATATATGTTATCTTTTTATTTGAAGAAAAAAAAATTCATAAATCGCCAACGGATTAAGATGCAAATTTTGAAAAACCATAAAGCCTTTTTTAATGCGATAAGATTGGTGTGTGTGTGAGGTACTTAATATTATAATAATATAATTTATAGTTTACAATACTCGACACTGTTGTAAAGGTAAAGCCAAATAAACATTGTCATGTACTTGATGCCATGCGTTTCGGTTATTTATTTTCAAATTATTTAACTAATGCGATAATACTTACAACAAACATAATATGTTTTAGGGCTTGAAATAAAGTTTCATTTTTTGGTACTTACTAATAATTACTTTATGAAACTAGAATAAAATTGTTTAAATAAGAGTTTAAAACTAAACTTGAAACTTGAATGAGTGCAAAAATAGTTATCCAAAAGTGGTTATTGACCAGTCAACATTTTTAATACATTATTCTCAATTTAAAAAGTCAATGAAATGTATGCGTTACCATTCGAGTTTCAAAAGTTGCTATTAAAAAAAAACTAAGTTTGAAAGGGGTAAAAACAAAAATTCTGAAAAATTTAGATCACATTGTACAAAAAAATGTTGAAAAAAAAAAATCAAATTTTCTATTAAACCCTATGAAATATTGAGTGGCCCGTGATAAAAAAATCACCTATATTATAAGGTAGGTTTATTATAATATGTATGACTGTGGATTAGTAAGTGACTCGAGCACATTTTTTTCCAAAAAACAAACACTCTAGGACTTATAGGAGTACCAGTAGCTATTGTGTGCCGACGGAACGGTGATTTTTATTATTTGTGATAGTATTATAATGTAATATATTATTCAGCTTGTGCTGCCTTCTTCGATCGCACTTGAACCTATTGTACTAATAATTATAATAATTGTATCGCACCTACGCACGAGCCGCTTAGTGTCGATCATGTGATCGCCTAGTGCTTTGACCCTAAAAAACCGGATAAACCGTTTTTTTTTTTATGAAGCAAAGATATCTTTGATTGGAGATATCCATTGACAATGCTTATTGAAATAATAACGCGGTACAATATGAGATGGTAGATTTTGTCGTTATCTCTGCCGGCCGTCGAGTACCATATGCGCATTTTTTATCATTGTGCCTTTAGAAGCACTTTTTTTTTTGTAATTTAAAATTCTCGTTATGCTTCTATTGTTATATTATTTCACGGCGTAGATTAAAAGAAAAAATTAAATCTATTCCATATTATTTAAATTATAATATTTAGATAAGCCCGCAAATCTTAGTTTGTTTTGTGGAAATCTCCTTTTTTAAAACTTGTCGAATATTCTTTTTTTTTTAGTTTATTTTAAGCGTAGATTAAATGTACATAAATAAAATGTATATATTTACATTATATATTAAAAATATGTATATTTAATCTAAATGTTTCGAGTTTGACAACGAGATTTAATTCATCACTTTATCGGTAAAAAAAAAAAGAAAATCGATATCAATAATGTTATTAATATTATTGCTACATTTCAGCTATACCTATAACCTGTCTAGAATTTTTAATTTTGCACCAGGTTCTCCAGGTCAGGAACTGGTCTTGCTATAATTAGGCTCTTCTGTAATACCGTTCATATTATGTATATGGAATGTGTATGGTGTTCACCTATAAATCATTTTATAATATCTACTATAAAGAAGTCGGTACTCTCAGACTCAATCGAATTAAGAACAAAACCTTAACGCGCATAAATTGTTTTTTAAACGCACTAAACTTTGGTGAAAATTGTTATTTTTAAATTTCTTAAAATTCATAAATTGTACGGTTTTTGGCGAAGAAAAACTGCTCATCAATTGACCACAAATTTTACCTGGAAGGTATCTTAAAACTTTAAACTCTAATTTTGGAAAACTCCTTCCCACCCACGACAGCATAACGTATGAAACATACATAGATCTCTCTATTCATAAATGTTGTATAATATTGTGCATAACGGTTGTGTGTATAATATACATAATATATACTACCTAGCACACTACTTAATCGCCAATATTATGTGTAGGTAATACACACATTAACCTCTTGTTATCATATCCCAACAACGCAATTAATTTTTTTATTATTATTATTATTAATTAGCAAAATCATCTAGACCAATTCCACGCGGTTTGCATGTTTTTTTTTTTAAATTGAATTTCAAAGTCTGTTTTCTGGTACATTTCGGCATATCACGCATCGTGTGCCAAAGTGTGTACAAATATTTAAATACATATATAATACGCATAAATATATATATATATATATAGTAATGTGCAGTATAATATAGCAATTCATTCAATCAGCATCTTGTAATTATTATCTTCGAGACGATTAGAATGATTTGAACAAACACAACATAATAACATTATTTCCGCCGATCAAAGCGTTGGCGTACAAATTCCAATAGATTACACAAAATCTATAACCATGCGGTACACCGTCTACCACATGTGATGATCATGTGTGCATTGTGCAAAATATAACAAACTGCTGTCGTTAAACGGTGCCATACACAAGAACGGCAACCGATTTTATGCGGGATTCCCGCTGTCAACAGCGGCACCCTCGTCATAGTTTACCAACCGCCCGTCCACAAACAATGGCGAGGGTACCTCCGTTGACTGCGGGAATCCCGCATAAAAACGGTTGCCATTCTTGTGTACAGCACCGTTCGTCTGTACATTTTAACCGGACCTCTCTGCGTCTCTGCTCCAGGGGTGAAACTAAGAATTATATTCAGGGGTGGGGGGAAGACCTTTCGTCGTCGAGTTGTTATGTAGGTGTAGTTGACATTAAATGGGTATATTAAGTTAAAAAAAAAAAACTGTTGTTACTATTTTACTAAACGGTGTTTTACACATTACAGTGTTGGTGCCCACGCCGAACAACTTGGAGCGAAAAATCAAACAGGACCCCAGGCTGTACGATGCGCAGTACGCCCGAAAGAAGTACGGGCCAGCCATGAACTCCAGCCCGTTGGTTTTACCGTAAGTCCGCCGTGATTACTACTGTAGCACTTGTGTAGTAAATCATAGTAATATTTGTAAAATTCTATAACGCGCAGACGAGTCAAAGGATTCCGGAGGATAATCTATTCGATTTACCAGTACAACGAGCTGTTGGATTCCAGCAACATGTGCATAAAAGACTGGCGGCAAATAGCCGAAGACATTTGGGTGAGTGCAGTAATTGTCGCTGTTGTTGTTGTAGATGCCACTGCAGTACTCTGCACCGTCTAAAAAACATCTAAATTTTTTCCCCCATTAGCAAGCTTACGAATTGTACGACGGATTCGTCGTCTTGCACGGGACAGACACTTTGGCTTACACCGCTTCGGCTCTGTCGTTCATGTTCGAGAACCTCGGCAAGACCGTCATCATAACCGGAGCCCAAGTGAGTGCTCATTTTGTTTTCATGACACTAAACTCAACATATGGGACGCCAATTGCCGAGTTCAGTGTTTCGCGCGATTAGCTTTGCCCGCTATTTTGAATGTAACGTATACCTCTGTGTTTAGCTTCCCGTGTTCGACCTGAGGAGCGACGGCAACGACAATTTCGTAAACAGCCTGCTGATCGCCGGCAATTACAATATACCCGAAGTGACGATATTTTTCCACAACAAACTGTTGCGAGGCAATCGCACCGTTAAGGTGGACAGTGAAAATTTCGACGCTTTCGATTCGCCCAATATGCCTCCATTGGCCAGCGTCGGCATCGATATCAACGGTACATAATATTTTTCTACTCGGGTCGTTTCGCGAAAAGTGGTCCCTTTCAGCGTTGAAAGTTTGGTGGCAATCATCCTCTCTCGTGTCACTGGAAAGGTCAGAATCCAAAAAGCATAGCATCGTAGAAACCCTATAAGCCCAGTTCCAGGGGAGTGAGAATTTCCATGGAAACTTTCATTTCATTGGCATGGTTTTGGGAATAAAAAAATATCCCATATAACGCCCTATTCCAATGTACGTTTAGGATAAAATCATTACTGCGATGCGATTTGTGACCAACTGGGGAGTGAGGTGAGGTGAGTGAAAACCACATTCAAAAATTCATCCTAGACAAAGTCGGTGTTACGGTTGGACTCCTTAAAAAAAAAATACTCTTAAACCATGCCTACTCTGAGGGTATATTCAAAATTTGACAGGAACATGAGGTTTCGAAGTTGGGATAGTTTAGTGTTGATTGAATGGTATTTCTCCAAAAATAATCTTTCAGCTGACAAAGTGACCTAAGTCAGAATCGGGATTTAAATAGTCAGAGTTATAGACCTTGGGACAAGTCAGGGATATGAAGAGATGGCTTAATTAACTTTTTAAAAGTGTTGTTGAAGCAGATTAAAGATTGATTGACACATTTTTGAGACATGCCAAAAAAATAACGACAATGACTCATGATTTGCCACGGACACAAATGTACCACTTTCTGTGAAATGACCAACTCGCAGTGTTATTATTTTGTGTATGTAAGTTTCTAACTTATTTTCTTTTATCAGTGTCCTTCAGACAGATATACAGACCCAAGACGATCGAAAAGTTTACCGTTCATTTGTCTCTGAACGAAAACGTTAGTTTACTCAGAATATTTCCAAACATCACGGCCGACACGGTAATAATATTATTTTTATTTTTATTAACAGGTGGTTAGCTTGTTGGTGTGCGTTTGATTAAAATACAACATATTTTATTATAATAGGTGAAAACGTTTCTACAACCACCAATCCAAGGAGTAGTGTTGCAGACTTATGGTGCCGGCAACTTGCCGTGCAACAGGGAGGACATAATGGCCGCTCTCAAGGCGGCCACCGATCGTGGAGTCATGATTCTCAATTGTAGTCAATGTTGCAAGGGTTCGGTCAACAGTGTATACCAAACTGGCCATGTAATTATCAACACTAGTAATTTTTTATAAATAGTAATGATCCAGCCGTATTGAACAATGTTATATGCATCGACAACAAAGCATATAATAATTTGAAGTGAAACTACTAATGGCACAATTGGACTTGGCGTTAAGTCATGAGTTTGACTTAACCAACTTTTAACCTAACCTTACCGGAATTTGCGACTTCAAGAGAAGAGCGGTGAGGAGAAGAGAAGATTGGGATGGAGAAAAGAGGAGATTATTGATAAGAGAATCAGCTGATAAGTGACGGAAATGAAAATGGAAAAATGGGGAAGAACGCAATGTAGCATTATTACTAATTATAATTAGATAGACATTAAGTAGAGAGAGCAGAAGGAGAATGTAGATGGAGGGAGGAGAGGAAAATAAACACATATTAGAAGTGGCGAGGCACGGTTCATCTGTTCTTGTGTCAACTATTTTTTGTAGATGCCATAAGACATATTCATGATCTAATGTTCATTTCTTTCAAAGGGGAAAACTAAGACCTTTTTTACAAATCACATTACTTTAACTGTAGATTTTAAATCAAGTTGGTGTAATTTCCGGCAACGATATCACTCCGGAAGCGGCGTTGGCCAAACTTTCGTACGTGCTCTCCAAAGACGACTGGGATCTGAACACCAAGCGAATGGTAAGTACAAATGACACCAAGACCGTTTTGTCATATTTACTCGAGAACCCAAATTTTTCAGATGCTCGGCAGTAACCTGAGAGGCGAGATGTGTGGAGGAAAATCCGAACAACCCAACACGTTGGCCGAATGGGACTTGGTCGATGCGGTCGCACGTACGCTACACGTGTCCAGTCCGCAAGAGTTGACCGTGTTAGGCGCTGTTCTCTTTCCGGCCATGCTGAACAACGCCATTGTCCGGTCGGACCTGACCAAATTGGACGAACTCAAAGGATTTGTCAGTGAATATAAATTATTTTCAATTTTTTAACGGGATGTAACGCCCTTATCACTGATAGAGGACTGATATGATAAGAGGAAGACGATAACCGATGCGTGATAAGATACATATGATAAGGGTGTATTGATAACGGATTAGTGATAAGTGACGGCTGACAAGGGGTTGGGAAATCCGTCGAATAGTTTGGGCTGAACCGGTCCCAGTTTGGGGATATCATTTCAATGTTATTTGTACATTTTATTAAGGACTAATATTTTTTTCAACAGGGAGCCGATTTTTCGGCACAAAACTCGGACGGTCGTACCGGTTTGCATTTGGCGTGCTCTTTGGGCAACTTAAAGGTTGTCCGTTACCTTTTGCTCAACGGAGCCAGCGTGCACATCAAAGACAGGTGACCGAAACGCGCCCAACCATCATCATTATTATTATTATTCATAAAATCCGACTTCAAATGCATCTCGTGTTGTGTTTTCAGATTTGACCGGACGCCTCTGATCGACGCTGTGGAAAACGATCACGTGGACGTTATAAAGCTTTTGCGCAGATGCGGAGCCCATCTAAACAGCCATCCCAAACACATTGGTCAACAGTTGTGCAAGTGAGTATTATGTCTTATGTCCGTCGAAAATATGCGTTAGGTTAGGTCGGGCTTGCGTTAGTTTGATTTCGCCAACATCCTACCTAACCTAATCTAACCTGACTTGACCTGACTTGGCGACATCAATAAAAAAGCGGGGAGTGGAAAAATCTTAGTCTTCCCTCGAGAGAAAAATATTAGATCATTATCAAGGAGTTTTAATATAACAGATACACCGCGCCCTGTCACTTAAGATATGTGTTAGTTTTCCTCTCATCCTTCCTTATCTTCCTCTCCCCACTCTCGTCTTCTCTACCCTCGTCTTCTCCGCCCCTCGAAGTTCTTCTCTTGGTGTCGCAAATTCAGTTTAGGTCAGGTTAGATCAAACGCGAGTCAAAAGGAAAGTGGTGGGAGGAGAGAGGTAACGTGAATAATAGAGAAGAGTGAAGGGCAGAAGAGAGGAGATAAGAGAATGAGAATGATTGATTTTATTTATTTATTCGTATGGCAAAGATTGATTGATAAAATATTAAGCAATAGAATCGGCTGATGTTGGATTATTGATAAGATAAATTATTATAGATAAGTGAGGGGTGAGAGAATGGAAAGTGGGGGGAGAAGACTGAACAATGAAGACTGGCGACACAAATGGGAACGCGGAGAGACATTTAGTGGCCATCATTGGAAACTTGACAACTGCCACTTTCGTTCAAGCCCTACCAGAGCGCTGTAGGTCCAATACTTCACAACCCACAGCCGTTTGAAACCCCAGCATTCTTTTTGGGACACTCTGTACATAATATATATATCTGTGGTGATAATAGATACACGATAAGCGTTAAGAGATGAGTGATAAGATATGGGTGATAAGATATGGGTGATAAGAGATACGTGATAAGAGATAAACGGTATAAGAAAAGTGTGATAAGAGATAGCATGTCCGTTATTTAATGTTTTTTTGCGCGGATCAGAGAAAATAACTAGATTCTTTTTCTTTTCTTTTCTTTTTAGCGCTGCCGCAAAAGGAGACGTCGACAGATTAGTGTCTTACGCCACGGCCGGCGCCGACTTGGCGATTTTGTCCGACATCAACGGCCGCACGGCTTTGCACACGGTAATGTCATTAATTTGGCGGTTATTTTTCTGACAATACCAAAAAAAAAAAAGGACTAACCGGCTATTTGTTTGTGTTTGTTTTTATCACCATCCAGGCCGTCCTGATGAACCAAGAACACGTGGTAGACTACTTGATCGCCAACGAGTACGCTCAAGTGGACATGCCGGACATGTTGCAGGTCAGCCCCATAGAAATAGCCAGGCGGACCGGCAGCACGGACATTTTGGAAAAACTGATGAAATGTTACAACCAAAACAACTAACCGACTAATTCGCTACCTCTCCTCATAACTCATAGAGCTTATTATTATCGTAATTATTATTTTTTTTTTTTTTACACTGTAATTTACCTACTTATATGATGTGACTTGCTATTATTATCGACTTGGATTGTGTGTTAAATGGTGTGACACACGACTGTAGTAGTTTGTAATTATTACCTATAAACAACAAAGGCTAGTGTTTTTGTGTTCTAATTTTATTTTATTAAAAAAAAAAAAAAAACAAGAAACTACTAATTGTGTGTATTAAATCGAACCTGACTTATTATCTTATCGTATGGCACCTACCTTAGTACATCATACGGTTGTATGATATTATTACGAACATTTAGGTACAATAGACAGTTGTTGTAGAAATTATGGACATATAATCCTTATGGTAAACGTAATAGAAGATTATTGTTATCGTAACAGGTCGTTATTGACGTCAATAATAATTAAACAAAAAACAATTGAACCGATTCGAGTGATTTTTCAATCAACGGTCGATAATGTTATAAAATTGTTAACACCCGCGTGCCAATGACCTAGTTGGTCGCGTTTTCACAGTTTATTGATCTACAAACTGATTTACACGTTTATCGTTGAATAGTTTGTATCGATGAGCTTTGTATTTCAACAAGATCCAACAGATATTGGGTAAACGACTAGTACAGGTACTACATGGGTACATGTACTCACCACTGACAAAACTTGAACTTCCAAACCGTCCACCAAGTACAGTCTCCATACAGTCTGCATAAAATATATAATAAACAGTATGTTAACAATCAAATAAAAATGTATTCAAATAATAAATAGAATAGTATTTGTAACTTTACTCGATTTGAAAAATTATTTCTAATAAAAAAAAGTAGTTGTTTTATGATGTATTTTCATACCTTTATGAAAATATATTTTAAAAATTTCATTAGTTAAGTGCTTTTTTTTTTTGCTTAGTCCTAATCTTGTATCAAAATATTTCTTTGGCGTTTGTGGTCGTTTTTAAAATCATCTCAAGGAAAGAAACCCCCTTTTTTTTTGGTATTTTCAGCTTGTTTTGTACGTTCGAATAATATTCTAAGATTTAACGACAAATCAAGTTTATTATTATTTATTTCTTTGCTGAATAATTCAGAACTAAACTAAATTTGTTATTTTAATTTGGATTTTTAGACGTTTTGTTTATACAAAATAAAATTCAAAAAATTCTGATTAGTGTTTTATAATAATAATAATTGATTTTGAAAGCGAATTGAACGAGAAATTGACTACTTAGAATAATAAAACTAAGACCAGAATAAGTTTCGGTTAAAAAATGTTTTTTTTTTTTATGAAAAAAGTCAACTTTAATCGTACACTGTCATTAGAAAATTATAATTATTATCGTTGTTTTTTTGTCATAATATATTAAAAAAATAGAAAAGGGCGCAAGCGCCACCGTTAATGTTCTTGGCTGTCAGTTGTGTTGCCTATCGGAATTGCGCTAGGCGCAACCTTCAAATTTCATATTTTGTCCCTAACATTTTCATGTTGTTATATTTTTAATTACACGAAATACATTTATGTTTGCCAGCATACCAAGAAAAAATAATAATAATAAGAAAAATGTCAAGCGGCTGTGCAAGGCTCTGCGTACATAATATAATATAATATTATATAATAATAAAATTATATTAATTGTTTGTGTCCCGGGGAGACAACAACAGCCGACCAAAACATTTTTTGTTTTAATTTTTTTAAATAAGGCCATAAACGGTGGGTCAGGGGAGGTGAGGGGGGCTGGTGTTTTCGAAAGGGTCGTGCAAAAAAATCAACACACATAATTAGGTCTGGGCCGGCGGCTCGTTTCGTGTGAAATCCAACACCGACCGTCGGGTCTGCATGTATACAAGGCCGGAGAAAAAAAAAACATAAGAAAAAAGGTCAACACCGCACACAACCCTAATAGATTATGTTAGGTATTATTATTATTATTATTATGATTTTTGCGTGTAAGGTATGTGGAGTACGCGAAATATAATATATTATGTGCCAAGACGGTGGTTTTTTTTTTGTGTGTGTAAGTGTATATTTTGGTTTTTTTTGGTCGCATAATACAGTGGCCATAAATCGTTGCGGTAAAAAAATGAAAATAAAAATAAACGAAGACTAGCTGCCGGTACGTGTAAAAATTCAATACTTTATTCTCTCTGGCGACTTACAAACTAAAAACACACACACAAATAAATCAATAATCTATACGACTTATATTACTATACATATTTAATATTGGCTACAATGATAATTATTTACACAAAAAAAAAAAATATATATATATATAATTAGGCCACAATGAGTAAAATATTATATGAAATAGGCGATAAAAAACTTATTGCTTATCAGTTAGAATGTTATTACATTATCAAATAAAATTCGAATTTAACTATTGATCTATATAGTTGATAAGGATTGTACTTAACTTTTAAAAAACCTATTTATTTGTATTTAATGTGGTCACACTGTAACTTGTACAGGGAATTATAATAATATGATGCTGGTACAACTGTTATTGGGCCGTAGGAGGCGGCGGCGGTGGCCACGATCCGGCCACCATATTTTGATGGCAGTTGGACGGCGGCGGCGACGACGGACTGGCCGGCGAGTTCAAATGATGGTGTCCCGCCGCGGCGGCCGCGCCGATGTACATGTGGTAGTAGCTGCTGCAGTACGTGTTGTACGTGCTGTAGTTGGCCGCCGCCGCGGCTGCGGCTGCTGCGGCCGCGGCGGCGGTGGCCGCATCCCCGTAGTGGTGGTGGTGTTGCTGGGCGGCCAGTATGTCGGACACGGTGTGCGGACTGGGCCAGCAGTGCTGTTGATGGTGATGGTGGCCGTACGGCTGTTGTTGTTGTTGTTGTTGCGACCTGGACGAGGCGGGCGACAGTGACGCCACCGGGTGGGACGGCGGCGGCGGCGTTGTCGACGAACAGCACGAGGCGGGCAACAGCGTGGTGACGCCCGGCACGGTGGGCGACAGTTGCGGTGTCTGCTGCTGGCCGCCGTGGTACGTGTGGTACGCGGCGGCCGCCGCGGCAGCAGCAGCCGCCGCCGACGGCGATCCGTACGCGTGATGTGCGGCCACCGTCTGGTGTCCGCCGTACGGCGACTGTTGGTGGGACAAGAGCGACGACAAGGGGGACGCAGAGTTGGCGGGCACGCCCGTGCTGCCGGCCGGCGAAGAGCCTATCTTGTTGCGCAAGATGCGGCTGATGGACGACACGGACGGCACGTTGAACTTGTCGCACACGCCGTCGGCCAAAAGCCGGTCGCGGATCTCCCAGGCGAACACGCCCGGATCCTTGCGCTTCAGCTGCCTGATGTAGGCCACGACCCGGGGCGTGGTCACCCGGGGCTTGCTGCCGCCAATGGCGCCCGGCAACACCGAACCCGTTTCGTGGTACCTGGCCAGTATCTTGGACACGCAACCGTGGGACACGCGGAGCTGCCGGCTGATGTCGCACGGCCTGATGCCCACCCGGGCCAGTTCCACTATGCGGACGCGGACGGCGTTGGGCAGCGGACGGCCGTTGACGAACACGCCGCCCAGCTGGTTGACTTCGCCGTACTGCTGCTGGCTGTGGTGGTGATGATGGTGATGTTGGTGATGGCCGGCGTGGTCGTCGTGGTGGCCGTTCAGGTGTTCTTGGTGTTGTTGATGGTGCTGTTGTTCTAGTAGCATTTCTGAGCCTGCAATCAAACATTGAGTGACACACTGTTAATAGCCAAATCAATGAAACAAATTCAAGGGTGCTAAGGGGTCAAATTGGGGGGGGGGGGGAGCGAGGTTTAAGTTTGACAGGAAGCTTAACTCTGACAAATCGTAAATTTAAGTATACAAAAAAATATACAGATATTGCTGGGACAGTCCTTAAACGGATAACATGTACATTGGGAGCCCTAACAAGCGGTCCCAATTAATGAGTAAAAAAAAAAACCATTAAAATAATAGTTTTTGATCTCAAAGTAGTTGTTGTAACAGCAACAGCATAGTATCATAGTACAAATGGAATTTAAAAAATATATACCTATATATTATATATATATATATTTTTACTAATATGGAACTACGCAGGGATAAATTCAAACACAGCGCCCACGGCCCACCCATATATACACAAAGAACAAGAATTAGTTTGATTGAACAAGAATCACAAGACTTCGATTTTATATGATAATTTTTTAAACTAGTCTGAGATTTTTTTGTTGTGAATCGCATCTAAGTAGTAAAAACACGGTTTTGTTGTAGTGGACCGCCGATAACAGCTACTATAACTAAGTTGGTTCATTACAATCATAATAATAATAATAACAATTAATATTTATTAGAAATCAGTTGGTCGCCTTACCGGCGTGTGAATTTGTTTTGTTAAACAAACTTTTAAAGACTTATTGTCTTAAATGATTAATTTGGAGGGGGCGAAGAAGGAATAAATCAATAAGGAATTTTGTTATTTCTTCAAACGTTATACGAAAATAAGTTTAATCAATAATTGAAAGTTGTACAAAGCTGTAAAGTACACACTTTTATAATGATGATAGAATATAATGTAAAATTCAAGTTATTTCCCTGTTATTATTTATATGCTTCTTTTGTGTTATGTATAATTATTCGAGTTTAAACAATTTGCAATGAGCTCAAACATTATAGTACGGATCGATAGTTGTATCAAATTCGAATTTACTTAACCGCTAAAGTATAAAAAAAATATAATAATAATAAAGTCGATTGCCTTTAAATATATTAATATTTTACCGGTTCATATTATTATGGTTTGTAAAAAGTACGTTTAAACATATTTTCGAAAGAACATTGAATATTTTTTCCATCTCTCTTTTGTGCCTTATTTGGCTTCTTAAAAAAAACCTATATTAAAAAAATTGTAAATACAAATTTAATGGTATGTGTGCATATATAATAATAATACAACAATAAAATAATCGCGTTTATGTGTCGCCATTATATATATATATATATATATATATATATAGGTAGGTAGGTAGGTATTTATCGCATTTGTATTGGTATATTTTTATTTTATTTATTTTTTTATCGTTTAATAGTTTCTTACCGCGTTATATAGGGAACGTGTAAGTATGTATATATAACCTGTATTTGTTTTATAGATTGTACGCGCGTTTTTTTGTTATTAAGTCATTACATACTTATGTGTGTATAATATTAATATGTGTAGATTTTTTATTATTATTATTATTATTATACAGTCGTAGAGTTTGCCAAACGCGACCGTGTAATATTGTATTAACACACGGTATTAGGTATATATATATACATATATTATATATTATAATATCATAAGACTGCGAGGACTGCCCACATTTAACTAAAAGTAATATGATATTATTATAACTTGATCAATATTTTAAATACAGACACGGTAGCTGGCCATAATATATTTATTTTTTTTCAGACCGGTCACATTGTACCTATATGGACCATGCCTAGGGCAGCCGAAGTGGGTACTTAGACAGCTGCTACTGCTACTACTTAGATGGTATATAATGCAATTTCATCAAGAAAATCTTAAATTATTATTATTGTTATTTAGATGTTGTGTGCATTGCATCGCAGTTGTTTAGACTACGGATGAGGTGGTCGTACCTAATAGTGTACATTGTATAGTGTACCTAAATTGAATGTTATTATTTATGCTGTGGAATGGAACAAGTCGATTTGTGGTGCAAACGTTGTAAGTAATATAAAAAAAAATTTACACACATACAATCGAGGTCGGTCGAAAATATTATTATTATTATTTGTTTTTTACCGGAGGGAAAAAATTTCGCACGACCGGCAAAGGACGGCTAAGGACCTAACAGGAGAATATAATAATATGTATATTGTGTTGTTACTCGGGTTACACATATTATATTATTTGGTGTGCGTTTTTTTTTGGCTTAGTTTTCTTTGTTGGGAGGGGGGGGAGTAAAAAAATCACACAGACGCAACCAATAAAATAATAATAATATCAAACAAACAAAAAAAAAAAAATACACTCTGCATACTACACAAACGCAGTGTACTGCACACATCATAAACTTGGCTTGACATTTTTTGTACTTTCAAATAGTTTTTGTATTTTGTACATTGCACAATTCAAACACTGATCGTATTTAGAACACCTGTATGTCAGGTTAAAGATAGCAAAATTCATTCAGAATTGAATGACTCTTTTTCGTTTGCTGGTTTTGCGTAGGTACACTGTGTTTAATGTTCCCCACGGGCGACCAAGAGTTTATTACTCAAATAGTATAGTATAGATATTAGAATGTGACAGTATGGCAATGACACTAAAAACTGTGTATTTTTTTTTATACTAGTATATATTGACTATTGTATACACGGGGAAAAAAATAATATAAGGATCATTCCATGCCAAATCATCTGATGTGTGTCAAGGGCAAAGTTTCAAAACAATTTTTTTTTTTATGTATAAGTAACTTCAAAGTTTGGCATTTTACAAAACAAAAAAAGCCCATAACTTCTCGGGCCTTGAACTGAAAATGTTCAAAATTGTTCAGCGCTGCCTGACGAAATTTTGAAAATTCGACAAGGTCGCCTGGTGGCAAACTTAAAAGTCCAATAATTATTCGCTGGTCTTCAGCGAATAAAAAAATTATCAATCATAAGTAGAAAATTATATTCTACTGCACCGTTGCTGTAGGACGCGCATTTAACACGTCTTGTTCTTTTCAAACACTATATTATATTATTAGTAATTAAATTATCGTTTTTTTGAAATTCCGAGTACCAATAGTTTTATCAATAAAAAAAAAAAAATGATGGCAAACCTCTCCGCGGTCACCGTGGCAACGGAGACGTGCAACAACAATAATAATCATTTTGTTTGACGATTGTCAAGGGTGTTGGTGTAGCAGCATGTCGTGCAGAAAGTACATCGACGGGGCAACTAAATGGACGTTGACCGGCATCGCACTGCTGCACGTCGCGCAGTACATAGTGGTGCCGCGGCTGGCCGTGGACACCGATTGCGCGTTACACAGACGAAACCACGGCCTGGAAGATGTAGTTTTACTCGAACCCGTCAACGACTTGTCAGAGCCAAGCAAAGTGCCGAAAAAGTGCAGTAACGTCATGCACTGCTCCGGCGTGTTGATGCGGGCTGATTTGGTTCTGACGGCGGCTACGTGTACCGGCCTGACGGAAGTCATAAACGAAACCATGGCGCCCATATTCCCGATAAAGGTATCGTAACCCGGCTCGAGTGTTAAAGCACTCCAGACATTTTGTCCCTAATCGGCCTTTTTTTTTTTTAACATTCCCTTATTGCCCGAGTGAGCTGTCTGTTTCGTCATATCCCCGGGTCCGTGGTAAAACGCAGTATCGACAGCCAGTATACACGGTGATCAGCTTAACGTTAATATCATAACACACACATACGCTCGTAGTGCGTACAGAGTGGATTCATTGAGTATGAAACACTCAATTTTTTTTAGAAAATAATTGCAATTTTTAACTTTATGAAACCAATTTTGTTCATGCTATTTTATAATATCACAGATCTACTGAAGTGAATTTACCTTCGTTACAACTTCCCAGGGCTTTATCAACTGTTGATGGTTAAATTCTCAGTTAAAATATATTATTGGACTCTTTCTAGTTGTATGTCACAGAGTTAAAACTATTACATTTGACTAAAATGGCAGTTCGAGTTTCGAGTAACTTCTGGTACTCTTCCATTGACAACTTTAATAGTTTTTGACTTAATAACCGATCAGCCCTTCTCGGCCGCTTCATTTTAAACACTGTAAACCAGTGATAAATAATTTGACAACGTTAAAATAATCTAAAATTATTGCCGAACCTTTGGGGAACAAGAAATGCCACCAAGGAGAAAGACATGATAAAAATCATAGGAAGGGTCAACACGCTTACAACTTTGTACCACTTGTTTAATCTATAGGCGAGCCAATTGGACGATAAAGTCAGCGTCATCGACACTAGATTAGTAGTGGAACAGTATACTCATCCGGACTTCAACATGTCTATGCGCCACGCCAATTTGGCGCTTTTATTGTTGGAGAGCGTGTTTACTGCGTATGAGAAAACTCCTTTTATACCCATTCCATTCATTGAAATGGGTCAAGTTGTAGATAAGTTTAAACATTCACCAGAGCACGAACAAATCGACGATTCGCCTCTAGAATCCAGAAGAGAAATAAAACACGAATGGTATAGCACCAGTGCGTTATTTAGACCGATAAGACCGAACCAGATTTTAACGAGAAATTACCATGTCCCCATCAAAATTGCTCGACACCCAGAAATATGTCCATTGACGTAAGTATTAAAATATATTTTCCGTCGTCCTGTTATACAAAAGCAACTGTGTGTGTGTGTCGTGGAGAAACGCTATAACACCTGCCTAGTGTTTGAAATCTAAAATATTTCATGTATAACTATGTAGGTATAACTTTCATGTATATCTTACATATATAGGCATCAGTATATTATCATTTTCAACGTGCAATTACTATGACACACTAACGTGATTTTGATGTTACATTTATGTGATAGGGGATAAGAGATAGGAGATTAGAGATGATGAAGTTGGGGTTGGGATTGGGAATGGGAATGGGGGTGGGACATACATGTTGTATTCCAACAATAGAAATGAATAATAAATTCAATAAATTAAGGTGCCAAA